AAAATATATATGTATTATTTACACTGACTTGCTTGTGCTGAGAAACACAATGTTGTTTAATATTTCAATAATTTGTGTTAAGAGATATATAAGCTGGCACAACTGTTCAAGAAATCATAATAACACTATGACCAACTGAGTGATGTACTGCAGTCAGTCTATAGGGAACTATTATACATATTATTTTGCATTTTATTTGTGCCTCTTATTACATCTGCATAATGCTTCAGGATTTAGAATTCCAAACTTTCTGTTTCTCTTTAAATGTCATTACTTCACTGAATCTAGTATGGTGGTAGCATTAATTACTCCACATGTGCCAAGAATAAAACTTTATTCACAATTCTGAGTGCTGAATATGGGAAGAGAGGAAAAGTTGAATTAATTTTAATTTCTTTGACAAATATTTTTCTGTTAACTATCTGATATGCAAAAATATTAAGCTGCTTGCCACTTTTAAAAGAGAAACCTTTAAGCAAAATTCCCTGTATTTTCAAAACATATTTTCCTCCATTGAAGGATAGTTTTTAATGCCTAGTTGAATGATTGTAACAATATCACTACTTTGAATGTCATTATTCACAAAAATGACTGTTAGTATGCTTGTGGGAACTCTGATGTTTCTAGAATTGTTAAAAATATATATATTTAGTTTTAGTTTACTTTATTGTCATTGCACCTCATACAACGAAATCAAACACCATCTTCAGTGCACATCATGACCGTGACCATGAAAATACAAACACACATCCTTCACCCTTCACACATTGAACCGGAAACCCTTGACACCACACCAACACTGCACTATACAGCAGAATTCAAAAGAGCTACTGCCCTGGGATAGAAGCTGTTTTTCAGCCTATTTGTCCTTGTTTTTATTATTTTGTACCGTCTGCCAGATGGTAATAGTTCAAAAAAAGGGTTCCCAGGATGAGATGGATCTTTGAGAATGTTTTGAACTTTCTTAAGGCAGCGGGAGCTATAAAGCTCTTCCAAAGAGGGGAGAGGGCACCCAATGATCCTCTAGGCAATGATGTTAACCCTCTGGAGCGCTGTCCTATCTGCCACTGTGCAATTGGCAAACCATACAGAGGTGCAGTATGTTAAAATGCTCTCTATGGTGCAACAATAGAAGGTCACCAGCAGTTTTTCATTCAGTTGTTGTTTTCTGAGAAGTTTCAGGTAGTATAATCTCTGCTGGGCCCTTTTGACCAGGGCTGCACTGTGGGCACCCCAGGTCAGGTCCTCTTTTAGGGTAATACCCAGAAATTTAAAACTGGCCACTTGCTCCACTCGGTCTCCATTGATAAGCATATGTCTGATCTGTTCCTTCTATAATCCACTATAAACTCCTTGGTCTTATTGGTGTTGAGGACCAAGTTATTGTCTCCACACCACGAAAGCAACCGGTCCACCTCATCTCGGTAGGCAGACTCATCCCCCCTGGAGATAAATCCCACCACTGTTGTATCATCTGCAGATTTAGCAATAGTATTACTAGCGTGAATGGGAATGCAGCCATGCACATAAAGAGTATAGAGTAAGGGACTCAACACGCAACCCTGTGGTGTACCAGTGTTAAGAATAAGGGCTGAAGAGGTATGATTAACTAATCTGACCCTCTGTGAGCGGCCAAACAGGAAATCCATAATCCAAAGGCAGATTGAGTTAAAAGCCTAAGGTCCAGAAGTTTAGACACTAGTCTATGTGGAAGAATTGTGTTAAATGCAGAACTAAAATCCACAAAAAGCATCCTCACATAGTCCCCCCCGCCCCCCGCTGTTCTAAATGAGTCAGAGCAGTGTGAAGAATGATGGCTATAGCGTCCTCTGTAGATCTATTTAGCAGAAGAGATTAGTGGAACTCAGATGGATAACTGATTGGACTTGCTGGAAATTGACTCTGAGCATAACAGATTTGCCATTCAATGGCAAGATTCAGTTTAAATTATAAACAACCATACAGATTTCAGATAAAGGAACATATTTTATTTCACTAGATCTGCTGTACTCTTCAGATAAGTCAACAACTGTCTTTCCATTAGCCGAAAAATCCTTTTTGGGGGATCCAAGACACAGCACATATGTGATTGTGAGCACCTAAAGGAAAAGTAGGTTATAAATCTACCAGAGAAAAATTGGGGACTTTTAAAAAAAGAATGCTTAAGGCTACACTTCAGAGAGGACATAGGAATCCTTATGGAATTTTATTTATTTCTTCTCTTTGGCTATAGCAGAACTTTAGATGTTGTTCATGGAGCAATCCTTACGTTAATAGTTCACATAAACTATATTTTCTTACAGAAAATTCCTGATGATTCAGATATGCTTTTTTGGTACTGTCCAATGCATATTCATTAGAATTCCATCTTTAACATGAAGCATGTTAGTATTACGCCCAAAGATTAGGAATCTTATTTTCAGGGAGTGGCTTACTTGAAAGATCTCTTTGTGCTGATGGCTATTAAACAACTTACTTAATGAAGCTTTGTTTTTGAATTTGTAGCTGCTTGGTATAAAATGGGAAGGAAATGTAATGACAACACTGTAGCTTGGCATGGTTGATGAAATGGAAACACTGATTTTCTGCTTGGAATATAATACAGTTCACAAATGAAATATTGTCTTCTTGCATATTACAACCTGGCATCCATGAGGGTGCTGGACTTCCATCATCTTCAACTGACATGGCCTATTATGAGAAGATCACACCATCATCAGGTTAGAGACGGTGAATGTACTTTCTTGAGAAGAAGAAGAGACGATTATATTTAAAGATGATTAAACAGACAACTTTGTAAGATTGTTAACTTCTAATTTTAGTTTTAGTTAGAAATGTATTACGAAGATGCAAGAGACAAAAACAGCATTTTTTCTGAGGAGAGAACACTATTATCTCTTGAGTTACCAAGGAGAACACTACATGTATTTCAAAATGTTTTCTATTTTAAGGATTGTTCCTTGTAGTAGTCTGACAGGATATATTTAGCAGAAGTTTTTCTTTTTCACTCCTCCTACGTGGGAAAGTTCATACTATTTTATTTTATGCTAGTATGGCTTTAAATCACAGTATAAATTAACAAACTTCATGACAAGATGGCATCCCTCCTCATTTATGGTGTTTTGATGGAAGGAAGATGTGAGAAGTAAAGGAGAGCCTGCTGTTTTAATTTTGTTCCCAGTGGTAGGCTGAACTTTGTTCTTTCAGTTCCAACCTTGATGACTGGTTTGATTATAATATAGGAATTCAATCCTTTGCTTAGGAGTTGTAGCCCTTCATGGCATTTCTAGAAAGAGGAAATGTTTCCTGAAGGAATGAGGAGTAAATAAAATTATTAATACAAAGTTGTGATTTATATACAAATTGGTTCCCCTGCACATGGTGGCAACTCTGAAGGTTTTTCTTGTCTTTAAATACTGTCACTTAATGGATTATTCAAAATAATTTCATTTAAATGTATCAGATATAAAAAAATTCACTGCTTCAAAACATTTAAAAATCCAAATGCATAAAATGTACACATGCTTAATAAAGAATACAATAAATGGTCATGCTTTATTAACTTTACAATATTATCATTGTTTCCTAGCAGTTGAACAAAATATATGTAATATTGTGGTAATTAATGGGCCTCAAGAATTTTAGGTTAGAACTAGAACTAAATAAGAACATTACTGTGACAGGCCAATAAACTGAGAAATATATTTTCTCAGAGAAATGGTCTTTTTCTCCTTGCTATGTCCTCAGTGACATAATAACTTGTCCCTTCTGCTTATATTTTTAAAATGCTGCTTGCTGTTGTGGTGGACAGATTATTGTCTTGAAAATCTGATTTTATTATCTTAGTAATGCATATAGGTATGTGCATTTAAAGAATAAAATCAGAATATTAGTTATTCCACTTAAAAACCACTTTCCAAATTTCTCCATCATGATCAGAGTATCTGATATATTTGACTGTCAGTGTAGCTCTATGCTGAGTTTAAAATAATTCTGACTAATGTTTTTGAAGTTTCTTTTTGATTTTTTTTTAAACTTGCATTCCTTCATCACTTTTCAGACTGCCATTTTTAGAAGTTATTGATTCACAGAAAATTCTCATTGAGCCTGGAATTTTTCATTAACTAAATGTTATGGTTTTCATTAAAGGTTCTTTCAATTGAAGATAGAAGGCAGTATTTGAGCTTCAGGAAAGTGTGATGTTAATTCATAAAAATATGTTGTCAAATCTTAAAATTACAGGCTTTGAATTTAAAAAACAAACTAGACATTCTGGGATAAATTTTACAGTATAACTTTTTTAAAGCAGTAAAATATTTTTAATTCTAGTCATTTATAATTGATGCTTGGTAAATTCTACATACTTTAGTTGTTATATATTACGATATTATAAAAAGATAAATTCTCCAAACATATTTGGAAACTTGCAGATTGCTTGCAAAGTTTAGTAAATTGGCTTAAACAAAATAATATTTTTTAATTTTTTTCATGATTGATCTATTAACATAAATACATATAGTAGTTAAATGTAAGGAAAGAACTTGGATAATAATGTGGGGCTTTCTCATTTATTTCTATTCTTTTTTAATTATTTTAATCACTATAAACGGCACCTTATTTATAGAATGTTTTGGGTAAGACTGCTTCATACTAGAGAATAATAGTGACTAAAGCAATAAGCAAATTGATATTGAACTGAAGATAAATGGTAAAGCTTAGAATTTAGCAGTAAGATATACAGTTCTAGATATTAAATTACTTACATAGTAGTATAGTTGGCTATGTTTTTGAATATGAATCTTATAACTGGGAATGAAAAACTGCTCAAGATTTATGACAGCCATCCTTCAATTTGGTCTTTCCCAAATTGCTTTGAAACATGGGAATTACCCACTAATATATCTGCAAGACACTAAAATAAAGAAAGGTGTTAATGAAAATGGGCTTATGAGGTAGACTAGAGATATCTAACAATTTCTTTTTCTTGGTTTATCTTTCAGGTCTACGCACAACGAACTAGAAAAGAATCGGTAAGTCATTAATGAACAGACTTCATAAACTACAAGCCTCATTAATATTTTAATTGTTAAAACATCTAAACCGTCCTATGATAATTTCAGGATGCTCAGTCTAGTTTTACTAGATAGATTGGGCTATGATTATCAATATCCACAAATGGGCAGATGAAAATTGTTGTCCCAAATATCTCCAAGTCAGTTATTGGAAAATATTGTTTTATAAGTTTTGGTAGCCTGGAAACGCCACATCGCACTACAGGATCGTTTAAAATACAGATCTTAAAATGTTGAACTGGTGTCCATCCTCCTTAAAATGCAAAGAAGTGACCTATTTTTACAGCTAATCTGTATTCAGAGGAAATGCTGTTTCTCCTTGTGCAAGCTGAAATCTGATTGAGTCAGTGTCCATACAGAAGGTTGCTAGGGTATCAGATTTCCAAATACTGGTACATATTAGCTAGAGCTTGTATGTTTGTTTTTGTCTTGCATTCTATTCTATTCTCTCTCTCAGACCTGTCATAAATCTTTCTACACTACACTACAGAAATCTTTCATTGACCAATGGACTCTAGTTTCCTGCTGTTCCTTGTTTTGAGGAACAGTCTTCTGGTAACATGCTTTAGGACATAGTGTAATCATCCTTGAACCACACTATCATAACACCTGCATTTTTGTTGTTTCACTAATTCTACCCTATGACTCATCACCTTTGCAACAGAATGGAAATACTACTGGGAGTGCAGGAAGTTAGTTCACACACATATTAGGTTAAAGCTTTGCTTTCATTGTATCAAGATCCTACTGTATTTATATATTTATCTTCAAGACTAGAGAGGAGACAAGTTGGTTGAATCAATAGTCTCAGACTCATTACTGATTCTATGGAAAAGGAAATATGTTTCATAGAAGAACAGATTATTTGGAATTTATTTAGAAGAATGCAGGATTACCTTGATTTAGCATGGCAGATAAAGACAGACTGGAACAGGAGAAGTTATATACCTACATTCAGTCAAAAGGCCAGAATCCCTGCAGTGTTTTGTAGCTCTAGCTTTGTTTTGTTTGTTACTGATTTGCTGTTTGACAAAAAGTGTACTTTGTATATTTCCTGTATATGTTTACTTCCTTTTTTCAGCTCTGTGGGCTGGGTGAGCTGTTCTTTTATCTCAGCCTTAAGATTTTTATTGTTTTAAATCTAGTGTGTGTATAATGTTCAGGGGAAAAAGCGAATTAAGTCTAGTGTGATTTTCAGGAAAACAGGGAATTTTGGGGAAAATTGAGGTAGTTTTGAAATGCAAAAAAGGCAAAGTTCTGTTGAGGGTAGGTAGAAAAGAGAGAGAAAGGAAATTATGGGTCAATTACTGATGACAAAAACTGGGTCTTGGATAGAGAGTAAAATTGGTGCTAATGATCACCAGTGTGTTAAAAAAATCACAAGATAGATTTGAGTGAATACTTCCATATTTGCACACTGATATCATGTGAAGAAACTCAGGAAATTGAAACTTTTTTCAAAAAATTAAGTGGTACAAGGTGTTCATAATAGATGTTAGGAAAATACGAATAGGTAAGATTAGCAAAATGATCTTTAGCAAATGACCTAAGATGGCCTTCTCCAACCTAGTGCCCCGTTGATGTGTTGGACTTCACCATATTCATCTACCAACATTACCATAAGCTAAATTGTAGGTAGAAAGCATATTGTAGGTACAATTCCTATCATGGGGAAGTTATTACATTATAAAACAGCATGTGTGAAAAAGGAAAGTGGCAGAAATAGACTATGTGGAGTGCAAGGTTTGTAGTGTAATGAAGACCTTAATATTGGTGAAGCTGCCATACTAGCAGCTGTCAAGATTAACGTGATACCATTCTGTGTTTTAACTATTGACTAGAGATGGGAAAAACATTTAAAATCAACACTGTTCTTTTTTTTTTTTAGAGGAGCATCAGTTTTGGTTTTGGCTATACTTCCTCCATGTTCCTCAGTCAGTAGCTGATTTGAACACTTCTAAACTGTAGCTTGTTGTAACTATTGAACAAAGCAAGATGTCTGTTTTTCATAATGTTAAAAAATAAAAATGAAAGTTATATTATTTTTCCTGCTCTGATAGTATTTTTGAATATAGTGTCAAGATCCTCACTACAAAATGTTTTTGGCACACCAGGACTAAAGTGTAATAAAATTAAATACAGATAATAGTATTACTCCCAAATCAATTTATAATTATTTCCCTTTTTCATATCAAAATTTAGAATTTGGTATCAACATTTGGAGGTTTTTCTAGGAACCACACTATTTGGAGTGTCTGATTATGTAGCTCTTCCATAGATATGATTTACAAAGTTCAAACTAAATCACCCATATTATGGTTTAGCTCACTGGTAAACTCAGACTGACTGGTCCATGCATCATATTAAGGTTTAATAGTTTGTTGAGTAAATTATAATGCTGGGTTCTTAATTAGCTTCAAAATAAATCACATAATATTATGGTGTAGGCTGATGAGTCAATTAGCATGTACAGTGTATGTAGTGGAGCAAGAACAAGTGGAATGTTTTTCTTTGGTGTGGCCCCATTTCTTTTTGAATACTGCAACCATGTAAAAAGGGATGACCTTTTTCTAGATCTTTCCAAGCCCTAAGTTGTTTCCTAACAAATAGTTTATTTAGCTATAAGTGTGTTTTTGTTCTGTCCCCTTTCCCCTCTTTTTATAGAAATTTGTCCCTATTTTTCAGGGAATTCTAATCTGGAATTTCAGCTTCCTAATAATTTATTATTGATTGTAACTGGTCAAAATTGAGTTCAAATGTCCACTCTAAAATTCAGAACGATCTTTCATCATCTCACATTTTATTTTGGTTGAATTTTTGTTTCTTCATGATCAATTTACCCAAAGCTTTCAAAATGAAAGCAACCCATTTGCTGCGTACTGCCCATTTTAATCATAAAAGTATTGGCAAAAGTGATAAATTTACTAATGCCTAAACTTAGAGCAAAGTTTACTCCATATTTTCTCAACCCATCAAACCTTTTAACTCCAATAATTTTCACCAGTCTATATATGTGATGGAGCGAGATCAGTTACTTAGCTAGAAATTTTGGGAGTGGAATCTGGTGGAAGATGGTGGAAATAATTTTGCTACTTCTAAAAAAGCTTTATTGTTATATATTAAATATTTTAGAGAATATTACAGAATGTTACAGAAACAGGCAAAGAATCAGCACTTGTGCATAATTCTTCTGACACTTGTTTCAGTGGAATGAGGCATATAAGCAGTGATGTATTGAGAGGGAGGTGGCAGGGATTTTTCCTTTTTTTCTGGGCCCATTCGCTATCCATTTCTGAAATTAACATTTTATAGATATTTCACTTACAAGCCAAATCATTAACATAGCTTCTTGAGAATCTATTAGTACCTATTTACAGGTTTTCATTTAGTGACCATTCAAAGTTACAATAGCACTGAAAAAGGTGACTTATGACTGGTTTTCATAATTATGGCCATTGCCACATTCCAAGGGTCACCTGATCAAAATTCAGATGCTTGGTAATTGTCACATATTTATGATGGTTGCATTGTCATCTGACCACCTTTTGCAAACTTCTGACAAAGTGAACAGAGAAGCCAGATCACTTAGCAATTGTGTTACTAATTTAATAACTGCTGTGATTCACAATAACTGTGACAAGAAAGGTCCTAAAATGGGGGAAAATTCACTTAAATGTCTCACTTAGTAACCGAAATCTTGGGCTCAATTGTGGTCTTAAGTTGAGGACTGACTATCTGTAATTACTGGAGAAATCTACCTCTGGACTCTTGGGAAAACAAAATAATTCCTTCATCAGGTTTTCATTACTTTCTATCTGTAGATTCTTTATGTTTGCCACTGTATCCAAACGAAAAAAAAATGCACCTAATGGCATTTTGCAGACAATTGTTCATTTGAGATTTTTTTTTTGTGGGAAGATGGGAAATAGAACTGGAAATGACTTTTTTTTAGAGGCTCATTGTTATCTCTATTATTGACATATCTGTAATTTTCAAATTGTCCATTAGACTATTAGGTATCTGATTCAATCTGCCCCTCCCCTTATCTGTAAGTAGTTACTTGTCTGATTCGATATTTGAATTATATTTTAATTCTTAGATCAAAAGGATGCAGTTTTTAAAATAGGGAACTCAGATACAGTCTTTTTTAGATTTATAATCTTTAGATTTATAAGACTGGAATATTTCTAGACCTGAGCCTTCTTCTTCGCTTTCTCAACTCTTTATTGCAGTGCACAACCCAGACAATTCATTTCTGTTCTGTGTTTATTTTGAGAAACTCACTGTACCTTTTCTCCCTCCATGGTCAAACCTTGAGTTTCTGTGTACTTTTTCTTCCAAACGTGGCTTTTCTCCCCTCACTCGTGCAAATATAGCATAGTGCTAATTAAGATCAAATATATATCTATTTTTTGCAGCTACTTAACATATTTTCATATATTTTAGACCAGAATTCCATACGTATAATATGCCATATTTATTATACCTAGGCTGAATAAAAATCAGGTTTATATCAGATTCTTATATTAAATACATACTGAAGGGGTAGACATAGTTTAAGTAAACCATTAACATTTCACAAATAAAATTATTACAATTTAAAAACATGTAGAACGTTCCCTATAGTCCTTTTTCATGTGATTAAAACCTGTTTACCAATGCCTTGCAATTTCATCATTTGCTTAACCATATGGTTAACTTATTAAATTAAGGAAAACAGTCGTCATGCTTGACATTATTCAAAGTTTGCAGCTATCTTCTGTCCTACAAACTCAGTGTCTATATTTGTATTCCTATTGCTTGGTATTTGTAATTGTCCAGTCTTGTCTGTTCCCTATTGAAGAGGTAGGTTTTCGCAACTCCTCCTGTTAGTTAGCTGCTCTTACTAATGACATGGGTTTTTTCCGTTTGTTGTTCTTTTTGCTTCTAGTTTTTCTATTCACATGCTAATTCCTCTT